GCTGTGAAAGATATTTGGGCCAAATCCATATTTTTGGAAACATTTTTGAAAAATGTATTGTTTACTAGCATGTGTTAATTTGTAAGACAGTGAATCATCTGAAAATTTTCAGGAGAGCAGTTATTTTTAGTTAACTTTACATAATTTCTCAAGTCCACTAAATATTTTATCTTTTGTTGAATCAATGTATTTTATGGTTACTTTACATATCTCATGAATATCATGCTGGGTGTCCATATCCTACTCAGTGTTTATGTGCCTATTGTATCAGTAATGGAACTAGGACCAATATTGGCTTCATTGTCAGCATTTCCATTTTTTATCAAAAAGCTGTGATTTCAACACAATGCCTTTTATAGGGTGTCAACTATATCATGTAAACTTAATCATCACACTGTACAGCAATTAATATACACACAATGAATTCATCTAATGGTACTAACCATTTAATTTTTGGGAAGATGTGATTTTCTTTTGAACTATTTTATTTTTTTCTATCTCAAAATATTTTTCTTTCCAGATAGTGTAATAGATATAATATTGTATTATCTTGCTATAAATTTGAGTAAGCCATGTTTACTACTATTGACTGACACCCTGCTCAAGAGATTCATTTGCCAGTTTCATATATAACAGTGCCATATGAAATATGTTCAGAAATAATGTGTATAACCATGCTAAAAAAACATTACTTGTGGTACCCAGTTTTAATGTCTAGCATCCTTGACCAAGCCTTCTCAGGATGATTTTATCAATTTAGCCAGGAAAAAGAGTGCTTGAAAGACAATAAGAATCACACAGGTGTTTGCACAGTTTATTTGTGTTGATATGGCATTAACACCTGTACTGAATAGTGGCTTTTATTGCTGCAGTTTCACCTGTAAAGCCCCTATTAAACTTGAAAATTATTATTACTCCCACCCCATTTCCTGTCCCATATATGATGTATATTCATTTTTCTATAAAACAAGCATATCTCATTTTCAGACTGCATCAGATGCAGTTCTGACTGCTAATCTTTAGGTCATCTGGAATTACCTGGTATTACTTGGAAGTTTGAACACCAGTACAAAACAGTCTCTGCTGACTAGTGATGAACTCTAATGGCACTTGTATTTACCTGAGCTGTTTACAGTAGCAAAGAGTGCATCTATTTAAGTCTATTTTTTGCTATTTCATGAATTTTAAGGACATAAACTTAGTGTATGTTTTAATGTCAGTGTTGTTGTGATTATGTGTTTGCACATATGTATATATGTATGATCATATTTGACAAGACAAAGTCCTCAAAATATTTTTTCATGGCAAGCATATTAAATGCTTTGAACAAGATAGACAGTTATTTTCAGTTATGAATTTCCAATCATTTCTAAAGTTTATTGAAAAGTTGTAGGGTTTAATACCATTTTTCAGCACATGATAGGCTATACATAGCGGCAAGTTTTAATGGTGGAGGAAGAACCCGGGAAAATCCCAGAGGGAAAATCCCAGAAAGAACGACTGACCCATGAGAAGCTATTGGCAAGCTTTCTCACATACCCACATTGTTATTGAAAAGTGAGGTTGTTTTTAATTGGACAATGTTGCTTTTTTTCCCATCATGTGCATTGACACCCCACCCCACCCCACCCCACCCCACTCCATGGGACCTCAGAATGCAATTTTTGAGTCTCAGAAGAAGAAAAAAAACCCAATGTCCAGCAATATGGCAAGTATGAACCAAAGTTTGGGAGACATGATGTCATTTTGTCTCATGGTACTACCAAGTTTTCAAGTATAGTGTTTATAAACTCACCTGTCATGAGAGCAGAATGAATTGTAACAGTGTACAGTTTGAATTGTAACTATTTACTGTTTGAATTGTAAATGTGTACTGTTTGAATTGTAAGTGTACAGTTTAAATTGGTACAGTGTACAGTTTGAATTTTAACTATTGTACTGTATTCATCAATGACTAGTCTGTGCTTATTGCTAAGTTAATTTTGCACCTTTATCCATACATTTGATAACATATAATCATGGCTAAACCCCCTGGCCATGTCATAGGATATAAATGGCATATTATAAGTCAGTTATAATCAAGTCTATCTAATCAATCCAATACAAAATTTTAAACATAAAGTTTTTTAATAAGATTAATAATACTACCCATTTCTTTTCTTTTCTAGTGAAATCATGGAGTTCAGAAATGAGGATCTGCATGAAATGCACAATTGACAAGACCACCTTGTTACATTCTCAACTAGTGTCTGGAATTCTGCCTTGAAAACCTAAGCCTTTCATCACAACCTAGGAAAAAGAAGTAATATAGAGAGAAAGGTAAGATGACAAAATTATGCAGTTATGTTATACCATATTTACTTACATATATGTCAAGTCCATCTGCAAACAGCACAGACCCAGATCTGCCAATGCAAAAGTTGTCAGCAGATTTTAGTCCATGCAGTTTTTTAAGAGTAATCAGTAGAGCAAACAATAAAGACCCTGATCGGCTGGAAAATTATGCTATGGCAGATCATCATCTTTGTTGTTTGCAGTTTGACTGGACATAAATGAAAGTACATATGGTACTTTTTCTGTTGTTGTTGTTGTTGTTCTGGGGCTTAATGCTATTTTTCAGCACATGATAGGCTATACATGGCGGCGAGTATTAATGGTGGAGGAAGAAACCAGGAAATGTTCGGAAAGAACCACCGACCCATGAGAAGCTACTGGCAAGCTTTCTCACATATCTACATTCACCAAAGTACTTTTTCTGTGTGACTGGAAACTGACCTATTACCATACCCATGCTTAAGTGGACTATATTGAGATTGTGCTGTGTCCATCTAAGTCACCACGAAGTAGGTAGGTGGGTGTGTGTCCTTTTGTCTTTTGAGAATAAACTCATTGTTGATGCATCTTAGGATGGCTATGTTTCCCACCAACTGTTTGGTTTATTCAAAACTTCATATACCAGAACTTCAATCTCCAGTTTGCCATGCTTATGTCCCTTTGTGAATTTGGGCCTAAGATGTGCATTGTTTGTTAAAAGATAAGTGATTGCTTAAAAAAACTAATGTCTATTTACTCATCAACACTAATGGGTGATGGGTTCCATAAGCATCAGTCATGTCATAAGCATGAGAGATAAAAAAGGTGACTCCATTTTGGTTAATAGTGATGAGGAAGTGGTGTTGCTTGCGTCTTTAGTTACTGCATGACCTATGTTGACCAAATTTGTCCAATGGATTTTAATATTAATAAATATTAGATTTTAGAGTTAATATATTAATGACAGACTTGATTGTAATAATAATATTCATGATGAAATGAAGCACATACAGGTTTCTGTATCATTTAAGTTAGAGTTGTCTACCTGTAAGGTCAGAGAGCATATGTGCTCACCAGAACCAAACAAAACACTAAAATTCCAAAGACAGAATTGCACTCAGATAAACTGACAGAGCTGAATTGGTTAATTCCTTAAGATGGCTCTAATAAACAGTCACATGGTTCCAAAGCAGTACATTATAATAGAGTGAAAAAATTTACTGAAATATAGATGACAGACAAAAAAATTTGCATGGACTTTTATTTGAGTTTACAATGTTTTTTATTAAATATATCACTACAAATTTTGAAGAACATTCCACAGATTAGGCAGTGACAAGAGCTGGAGTTATGTGCTGAGAGATTTTACCAAAAAATTGACAGACTTTACATGTGGATGTTACTTTGATGTTAGCATTTTTTGCTTATGTTGAGAGACCATCAGGTTTTCATAGTAAGAGGCCTTAGGTGGCCCAGTCATCTTGGCAACTCGCCTTCACAGGTCACTGGACCAGTATTCAATAAGGTGTGAGAGAACATCATATATTGCAGTTCTAGTGGAGCTCTTATAAAATCTCAGATCATGACAAAATCAGGGAAAGGGGATATTATTTTTTAAATTTCCTGTGGCATTGGGAGTAATCTCTCTTGCCATGAGACATACTGAAATCAGCACAATATGGTTACCAATATTCATATTTGTTGCTTTTCGTGCTTTTTTCCCAAGAATTTGATTATTTCTTTTATACTGTGCTGATTGCTTCAGCCTTTAAGAGGATTATTGTCTCTTTCATCTTCAAAGGGATTTTGTTTTGGGATGCCATTTCTAGAAAATGCTACAAGCAAAAGCTTGATAATGTAGGCATTTTGCCTGAAAATATTGGGCAGTTTAAATCATCTGAGGTAGTAATATAAAGTTAGACTGGTTCCCTGACTAACTCCACTGATTCTAACATAAAACCCAGATCTGGATCAAAAACGGACAAGAAAGTATAATGATTTGACTGGAGTGATATTTTCTTAAGTTTAGCTATTATTCTGTAAGTCTCTAATTTAAGGGTCATTTCAGTAAGACTTAACTCAAATTGTAATGGTTGGCTTGTCAGGATGCTGTTATCTTACGAATCATGAATTTTGGACTGGTTGCATCTTGATAAGTACTACACCTCGTTACAAAAGGAAGTCAATGTGACCCATAGTTTTGGACTTCTTTGACTTCTGTATTTAAATTTGTGTTTGAAGTGTTTATGTTCAAGTCATTGAACTAGATAATTGTATACATCTTCAAGTACCTCACCTATATAAAATAGTCACAGTGCCCTTATTTTACTGACCTGGGTTAAAGTTTTGCATTTATCTGATGACTATACAGGTATTTTGCACTCTGTGTACATACTGTTATGAATAGAAAAAGCATGCAACTTGATGGGGGAATGCATCTTAATCCCTCAATGCAGAAGTAGGTCATTATTCACCTGAATTTAATTTTAATTTTGATTACCATTTCCAGAGCACTGTTCATCCTAGAATCATGAATTTGATGATATGCATGTCTGTAAGTGCCACACTTGTATAGCAAAAGAAGCTCATTGTGACCTATATTTCATATTTTGCTAGATTTTGTCAAGATTTTGCATTTAGTTTATGACCATGAGTTTATGGTATTATATTTACCTAGAATCCTAACTGCTCCGATGGCCTAGTGGTTAGAGCGTCCTCCTTGGATGTGGGAGGTCGTGGGTTCAATCTCCTGTCCAAAGACTTATAAAAATGGTACTAACAGCTGCCTCGCTTGATGCTCAATATTAAGAGGTTAGTGTTAGGACTGGTCAGCCTGGTGTCAGGATAATGTGACTGTGTGGGACATCATGCAACATGTCCATGGTATGATGTCTCAGTGCAAGACATTACTCTAAACTGCTACACAGCAGACATCGTAGTGATATGACTAAAAAATTGTTAAAGCTATGTTAAAAATCATAATCACATCACATCACCTAGAATCCTGAACCTTAACAGTGGACAGTAACTATGCCATAACTGCGAAGAAGGTCTCATTGACCTTTATTGGATGCTTCATTGCTTTTGGAAATTTTAAATTTGAAGTTAAATTTGTTGGTGCTGTTTATGTTAGAATCATTAAACTTATTATGTCTTATTAAATGCATCTCTTGGTACTGCATCCTTAAAACAAAAGAAAATTCGTGACTACATTTTTTATTTTACTTTGATAGATTAAGTTTTTGTAGTCAAAGTGAGACCACATATTTTTCCATGCTATATACATCATAGCCTGTACAGAATGGCCTTTGAGACTATCATATTTGGAATAAACGTATTTATTATGTGAAAGTAAAAATTTTTAATTAGTGACTATAATGTACATATTGTGGGACCACTCTGGTGGCCAGTTGGTTAAAATTTACATTAAGAGGTTAATGTTAGAACTTGTCAGCTGTTAGGATAATGTGACTGTGTGGGACATGATACTACATGTCTTCGGCATGATGCCCAGTGCTAGACATCACTATAAACTACCACTCCGAAGACATCATAGCTATATGACTGAAAAATTGTTAAAGCTATGTAAAAAATCATAATCATATAAAATATAAAAACAAGTGACAGTATGCATACTGATAAGTGATAAGTTAAATTAATAAGTTACTTTAACAAGTTATGAGCCTGTAAATTGGTTGTGTCCTGCATTCATTCCACTGAGGCCTTAGCTGTAGTGACTAATCAGTTAATTACTGATGGATGGACTTTACTATTGGTTATATAAATTATGATCACAAAGTTACTCAAAGCAGGTGAATTCCAGTGTTGATTCATTCTCTGTCAAAGTAAGCTGTATGCCTGGGGATGAAGAATAGACCTAATAAGCTCTCCTTTCACATGAATTCATAAAACATTTTTAATGATGCATTACCTTAATCTAATTGCTCATAAGTTTATGATGATCTTGTGCAATCAGGGACATGTCATCATGAAATACTAATTATATTTGATAATAATGAGTTTCTCTTTATGTTCCAATTAATTTCGGGAGATGATTCTTATCAAAGATGATTATACATGGATGAATTACATTACATAGTGTGATCATTGGGTACTGTCATTATGAAGATGCCAGTTATTTTGCCAAAAGCGTACATATATTGTCCAGTTTTCCTGTGTCCAGTAGTAGTCTTAAATTAGTAAAATTAGTACTGGTGCATCTTCTAGTGCAAGCTGTGAGTGCATCTTGACTTAGTCATGTGTAGTCACTCAGGTGTTGTAATGACAGATGATTAAACATCATTAGCTACTGTATCACAAAATTTGTATTAGTATATGCTCTTCCATTGTCAGTGTTTTAATGTTTGCAGACTTTTCGATAGCATCACTCTCTTCTTAACCAGGACATATACACAGACTTTTCATTTTTATTAAAATGAAGGAAGAAAAAAGGCAGCCAGTAGATTGTGTTATTTGTTTTCATAAAACTTGGAGCAAATGAAGTTGACAATGCTGCCAATTGGGTTTTAAAACATTTCAAGTTTGGTATCTGCATGTAGCTTTTCAAGCCATTCCAGCAGTTTTTCCATTGTTTTTGCAAAAACTTCCTTAGCATGATTAAACAAAAATACCACATGGGTAGGAAAAATGAAATTTGGTGGAAATATTTATATTCATACAGAGACTAGATTTTCATGCCAGCAACAGTTTTAAAATTGCTTACATATTTTAGTCTTTTTGGTGAGCATATATATTTTACAATGACCAATTAATCAGTTTAACATTGTAAGATTAATTTGGTCAAAATCCACATTTGAATGTGCTATTTCCACTAAAACTTGAGGCAATTAACTTCCGTTTATTAGTTGGGGACGTTTATTAAACATTTTCTTAGGAATGTGGTCAGATTAAGATGAGTTGATCCTTAATTGGTAAGAAGAAACAAGATTGGTCTTGACTTTTCAGCCTGAATTAGTCCAGAGTATCTTTAGCAGTTATTAAAATGTGGAAAACATATTTGTCCAGAGCTGGCAATACCAAGTAAAATGAATGAATTACAAAATGGTAAAACAAAAGTTGTCAGCTGTTTGTTTTCTTTAAAAACAATTTACCTGTCTTTGAAGACCAGGAAGTGAAAAAGTCCAAGCGAAAAACAAGGTCATGCTATATACTCTGTAATGCAAATTATACCCATCATTAATACACCAAAATAAAGGGAATAAAAAGTTATTTTAATAATACCTAAAATATACAAGATCTTTTTTTTAAAAAGCATTGATAACCAGTGTGGAAAACCCATAAAATCTTTTTTAAAAAATCTAACCCTATGAAAAAAAAATGAAACTGTAGAGTGCCACCCTATGATATCTAATCAGTCACAACTAAAATGGTGACCTCTAATGTCTGATATGATTGCCACAATGGCTATGGTGAAAATTATTTCACAAATGCATGTGAATGAATGGTCATAAATATGAGGTATTCACCAAAAATGACTTGTGTAAAGAAAAACCCATTAGCTGATTTTGGATTAATCCGTTGGGAGGATTCACCCTGTAGCATATTCATAACTTCATAATACTTACAGCTAAGCCACCTCAGTTCCATATAACTTCATTGAATTTTTTAGTTGCTTTAAATCACAATTTATAAGACTTGGTGAAAAGTGTTTCATGATTATAGAAAATGGACATCCTGGAACATCCATGAATTTGATACCCAAAAAAAGTTCATTTTAACAAAGCTATGTAGATTGACACCATGTAAGTATCCAATCATGGCAGGATGGGATTTCTACAAAACTCTTTTAGGTGAAGCAGCTGCATGCAAAAGCCAGTTGTAGAGAATAATTTTGGATCCAACAAGTTTGTATAAAACCTCTCTTGTTTGGCCAGGGACCAAGGTTTTCATATGCAGATTTGTTGATTATATAGTTATGACCTGTAATGAGAGACCACCAGTCTTGAGAGACCATTATTTTCTGGCAGAAGAGGTGGTCTTTCAAGACAGGTTCTACTCTACAACATATCAGAATTTCAACACCAACCTTTCTAGATTGTGAGTTCAAATATAAAACAGAGCTGAAGAAATTTACATTTTGATTTTCAGTGCTGCAAAACAATCTAAGTAACTATCCAAATGCGTGGCACCTTCTTCCATATATTTATAGGTAAGAACTGCACCAAAGCTACTTTTCATATTATTATAAGGATAATTATTCAAATTTTATATCACTTACCACTCCAAATTAAAATTATTTTTATCACTTTTCCTACAGAAATGACTTCTTATGATGTTCATTTAGTCCTTGATGAAAATGGTGCTCTTCATCATCCAATATGACCACAGTAGTAACCATTTTCATTACCACAACAATAACCATTTTCATTACCACAACAATAACCATTTTCATTACCACAGCAATAACCATTTTCATTACCACAACAATAACCATTTTCATTACCACAACAATAACCATTTTCATTACAACAGCATTAACCATTTTTATTACCAGAACAATAACCATTCTCATTACCACAACAATAACCATTTTCATTACCACAACAATAACCATTTTCATTACCAAAACAATAACCATTTTCATTACCACAACAATAACCATTTTTATTACCACAGCAATAACCATTTTCATTACCACAGCAAAAACCATTTTTAATAACACAAAACATTTTCATTGCCATAGCAATAACCATTTTCATTACCACAACAATAACCATTTTCATTACCACAACAATAACCATTTTCATTACCACAACAATAACCATTTTCATTACCACAAAACATTTTCATTGCCATAACAATAACCATTTTCATTACCACAACAATAACCATTTTCATTACCACAACAATAACCATTTTCATTACAACAACAATAACCATTTTCATTATCACAACAATAACCATGTTCATTATCACAACAATAACCATTTTCATTACCACAACAAAAACCATTTTCATTACCAGAACAATAACCTTTTTCATTACCAGAACAATAACCTTTTTCATTACCACAACAATAACCATGTTCATTACCACAACAATAACCATGTTCATTACCACAACAATAACCTTTTTCATTACCACAACAATAACCTTTTTCATTACCACAACAATAACCATTTTCATTACCACAACAATAACCATTTTCATTACCACAACAATAACCATTTTCATTACCACAACAATAACCAATTTCATTACCAAAAGCAATAACCATTTTTATTACCACAAAACATTTTCATTGCCATAACAATAATCATTTTCATTACCACAACAATAACCATTTTCATTACCACAACAATAACCATTTTCATTACCACAACAATAACCATTTTCATTACCACAACAATAACCATTTTCATTACCACAAAACATTTTCATTGCCATAACAATAAATATTTTCATTACCACAACAATAACCATTTTCATTACAACAACAACCATTTTCATTACCACAACAATAACCATTTTCATTACCAAAAGCAATAACCATTTTTATTGCCACAAAACATTTTCATTGCCATAACAATAATCATTTTCATTACCACAACAATAACAATTTTCATTACCACAACAATAACCTTTTTCATTACCACAACAATAACCATTTTCATTACCACAACAATAACCATGTTCATTATCACAACAATAACCATTTTCATTACCACAACATTTTCATTACCACAACAATAACCTTTTTCATTACCATAACAATAACCATTTTCATTACCACAACAATAAC